TCACTAGGGTGTTTATCTTTAGATAAGCATGACTACGATACAAAGGTATCGTATATATTATATGAAGTTGGCTGTTTCGTCTTTCCTTTTTGCAATTATAATATTCCCTCTTTTGGCCACTTCATCCGTATTCATTTTTTGTTAAGAATTTATTATTATTTATTTACTATATTTATATGCTTTCTTTATGTATTTCGATGTTGTATAGAGGTAAACTTTTTATTTATTTTTTTTTTCAAATTTATACCCACATTATATTCAACTTCAACATTTTCTTTTCACATCAAATGAACTATCACATTTGATATGTGATGGTTCAAGTTTTCTTTACCTTAACGAGCTTGCCACCTCTACGCGGTGTTTAGGAGAAACGGTTATAGTATGTACTATTCTGGCTAAGCGCAAGCATTTACGTCCTTTTAAAAGTTGTAATTCATATTAATATTTGTAAAATTGTAAATAAATCATATAAATTTTACGGAAAATGTTTCAATAAAACTTTTATTAACTAGTGGTTTCTTTTTAATATTAGTTAAAAGAAGAATAGATTAATTCGAGGTGCAAATACAATCGCAATATCTTTTTTTTTTTAAAAAAAAAAACCTAATAATCTATCAGCAATAATAAATTATCGGTCTTGTTTCCAATTAATGAACTGTTTGCTCAAAACTCTCAGCTTCTTTGTAAGTTACTGCTTGTGCTTCTTGAGTGTCGCTTTCCCGAAGGGAATCCTGACATATAAAGTCCACAAGAGACAAAGTACGTCCCAGCTTGTATTTATGAGAATCATTGGGCATGGACCGGATTTCAAAAACGTTCCCTTGGATATCATTTCTTCCATCTTAAAAAAAAAAAGATTTATTTTTTTTCTAGCTAAAACTATCTAGATTACCGAAAATATTGTGTTAGTCCTTTCATAAGAGAGAATTAAATAAAATAACGACCTTACTACTGATTATCATGTTATCATGCGATTTTTTATACGAATAAAAAGAAGTTTTATTACGAAATGTGGCTACGTGGACAATTCGTCAACAATAAAAAAAATTTCTGTAAAAAGAATTTGAAGAATCTTGATTTGTAAAAGCGTTAAATATCACGTGATATTAAGAATTTGCGAAATCTGCGAGCCGCTTATATTTTCCTGAGATGTATCAATCGATGCGGAGGCGCAGTCATGTGTCATAGTGATGATTTTTTTTTTTTGTTTCTGCATTTGGCAAGTGAATACTAATTAGGATAAATAAAGACCAAGTCCGTCTTACCCAATACTATAAAAAAATAAAATAAAGAAATCAAAAAAAATGAACTTTCCAAAATATGACATCCAGATGAATGGATAAATGGAATTCAAGCTTATTTAAACACTTTTGCAAATTATAATTTGTTAAATTATGCAATTTCATTAGTAAATCCTACCATCAAACTCCCAACTGGAATCGATAGTTTGAAAAACTTCATAATGCACTTAAAGAAGATTTTTCTTTTACAGTATTCAAGAATACAAATAAGAAGAAATTACAATTATTAAAATATATTCCTGAGAGAGAAGGCGGCGATACTTCAAAATTTCTTTCAAACTTTCGCCAATTATGTTATAATGCTGAGATCAATGATATAAAAGAACAAAAGAATTACCTTTATTTATCACTTTCAAATGATTATTATATATTAAATGAATTTCATAAGAAAATGAAAAATATCAAATCAACAAATGAATTAATCCAAGAATTTGGCAAGATGAATCAAATTTAATTAGAAACGGATGTATTGTAGCTTTAAAATACGTTGCTACAGGAAAATATTTAAGTTCAATTAGTGGTTTAAATTATATAACTGGAAGCTATGCTCAATTGGTATGTCTTTTTATAGATGTTTTTATGTTAAGATAAATTTTACTATAATTATACTTTAATAAATTTAGGTTTTTGCAAATAATTTGCTTGATTCGGATGCTTTATGGAATATCATATTTAGCGGTAATGAACTAGCTTCATACACCAATACTACTAATATATATTTACAACACAAAAGTTCCAGTTACTTTCTTGGAATTTATAATGATAGTAGTTATAAATCTCCAGTAACTCAGCACACAGAAGGTAGTCATTAATTTTTTAATTTTTGTTATTTCAAATTATATTTTTTTAAAAAAAGGTATAATATTGATGAATGATTTTATTTTGTAAGTTGTTCAAAAAATAGATACCATTATACTCAATGGAAGTTTAATAATAAAGGATATTTGAAATCAATGATATTATTAATCTTAGTATTAATTATAATCGGCAAGTATTTTTACGTAGTCATGATCTTCAATTTACTATTGGAAATGATACTTTTCAAGAGGTTGTCTGTCATAATGAAAGACTTGGTGGCAATGATGAGGTACATGTAAGATTTTTTTTTATTATTGAATTCATTTCCTCGTTTTATTAAAATATGTTTATTTCTTTAGTGATGCATTGAACTCATTAAGTAGAATTAAATTTATTTAATTCTGTATCTTATAAATTCTATGCTCAAAATTTATTCAATTCACAAGAAAGCCAATGGTTTGAGCAGTGATTTAATATTTTCGCATTTTTATTCTTCCTAGATAAAAGTAATACACTGTCTATTTGATTTGTCCTAATCATATTTAGGATACCAAATTTTTTAACAAAAATATCAAATTTATAATGTATGCGTTTAAAATAAAAATTATGAGCCAAATACAAGTAAAATCAATTTTAAAAAGCATTATTATTTTTCAGTACAAATAGTAAATGTAAAAAGTAAGGTAATTATTATCTCAATATAATTAAACATTTCTAAATATTTATCTAAAGCTAATTCAACCTGATCAGTTAACTATCGTAATTAATAATAGATGAATTAATTTTTTAATACGTAAACAGTCAAAAAATTATTATATACTTATTGGCCATATTATTTTCAGAAATTATTTTCTAGGAACTAAGATTATAATATTATATTTTGCATTTTTAAAAAATGAGTAAATTTATTCATCGCGGGAGGCGATACTCTTTATACATTGCCTTTATATATATACCTTACCCTAACCTAATTCAAAACATGTGATATGAATATATGTAACGAATAGGGTTCACACATACATGAAAAAATTTCTCTGTCTCCAGAATATATATGAAAAATGAAAAAGGAAAGGGTGTGACATAGGTGACAAAAAGGAGGCGATGATATCGCATCTGCGATGAATAAATTTACTCTTAAAAAATAATATCATGAAATTTTTTTTTATAAATGAAAACAAATTACTGCGTGAAATTCAAATTAATTAAATCAAACGATATTACCTGTATCAAAATCTATAATCTAAAAGAAAGTAATCTTATCTTAATGAATTGAAAAATTATTTATATAGTTATTACGCAGTAAAAGATTACTTGATGATGCATGTATTAAAATGGAAATGAGGATAATATAATTTTTATTATATAACAAGAAGATCGATGTTAAAATAGGAGGATCAGCATCCTAAAATAGAAATACATCAAAAACTTATCTTATGTATACGTATATGTATATGTATACATATACTGTATGTATTAACTAACCAAACCATTCAGGAGCATTTCTTCCACCCACTCAAACCTCCCTTGCGTGTTTGTTTATATAAAATTTTTTTTTTGAGAAAATTATGGAATTGTAATTTCTGGAATAAACTGCACGAATAACATTAAAAATTGATACATTTAATAACATAAACAATTTATTTTAATTATCTGTTTATTCTTTTTTTATTTTTTATTTTTTATTTTTTTATAAAATAATTTTTCAATCATTTTTTTCTATACTGTTTATATATATATATACACTACTCTCAGATAAGTATCCGGTCAGCCAAAAAATTATTTATTTATTTAAAATTTTGAATATAATTATATGATTTAATACTTAGTAGGCCATTCTTAATTCTTAATACATGCTTCAATTCTATGTGGCATGCTTTCTATAAGATTTTTTAGATATATAGAACGTTTAATGCGCCTTCGTTTAAGTTCATTCTATAAATACTCAATTGGATTAAGGTCTAGAGATTGAGAAGGTCAATTAGAAAGCATCTTAACCTATTTTTGAATAATTCAATTTTTGATATTCTTTACTTTATGATCTGAAGTATTGTTATCTTGGAATGCATAAGGTTATTTGTGATGTTTCAATCGAATAAATGGCAATAAATTTTTTTTTAAAATATTAATATAATTTAACCAGTTCAATTTTCCTCAACTTTTACCAATAGTCCTAATCCTTTTCCTAAAAAACATTCCCATACCATGATGTCATCACTACCATGTTTGACTATAGGAGTTAAATTTTTAATATCATATCAGGTATCATTTTTTGCTAAACACGATTAGGCCTATCATTTTCAAATATGATAAATCATGATTCATCACTCAAAATCACACTTTTTCATTTTTGGATTGACTAATTTTGCCGCTTCATACACCATTTTAATCAATTTTTATGTTGAGATTCTGTAAGAAGTGGTTTTGACGTAGCAATTCGTAAGTGAATTCCCATTTGATGAAGAGATTTCTGAATAGTACCTAATGAAACTTTCTTATCTCTTAAATCCTAAAAATTGTGCTGAATTTCACTAAGAGAAGATCAATTATTCTTTTTTATAATTTTCTTTAATATGTGATTATCATTATTATTCATGAAAAGTAGCCTTCTAGGTCTTTTAACGCTTAATCTATCATTAGAATTAGCATGTCAGAAAATTGTATCTGTAATAGTGCTTTTAGAAATATTTAAAATATGAGCAATAGCTTCATGAGTTCTTTTAGCTTTATGTAAACTAATTACTTTTCTGCATTCAAACTCATTTATTTCGTGATTTTTTTTCATGTCAATTGGTGCAGTTTTTTAAAAAAAGCAAAATTGGAGTTGTTTATATTTTTGTTTATAAAAATTGATCTATATATTATTACACAAATATAAACATATGTACATTATCGTCAAAACAAGGAGGTTTATTTAAAAAAAATTTATTTAATTAATATATCTAATCTTAAGAAATTTAAAAAAAGCTTAACTGGATACTTTTTGAAGGATAGTGTATATATATATATATAAAATATCAATTTGTATAATTAAAAAAAAAATAAAAATATACAATAAAAATATAAATGACTGATAGGCATAGTTCGATCATAACAACATAAATAAATTTTTATTAAAGTAACAAAAAAAATAATAAAGCCAAAAATGATCAACAAGCCTAATTTGACAGATCATATAGATTAATAGCATAATAAATTTGTTATTAAAGCAAAAAAAAAAATAAATCCAAAAATGATCAATAAGCCTAATTTGATCATATGAATTATATTGAATATAGTATAATAAATTTATTTAAAATAAACAAAAAAAGCCAAAAATGAACAATATTTTCTTTATAAAGTTAATTTCAATCTGCTGATTTTATAAAAATTATAATTGATAATGTAAAAAAATTGTTCGTCAAAAAAAAATAAAATTAAAAATGATTAAATAATAAATGTTATAACTGAACTAATGCTAAATTACAATAGATAATAAACAATATTTAAAAATATGCTGGAAAATTAATACAAATTCTTTTTTTTTATTTATATATTAAAAAAAGACGAATCTAAATTAAAAATAAAATAAGCACGTTCTTATTCTTTATTTACAAAAAAAAATAACAAAATAATCAAATAAAATGTTAATTAATTGTATTATAATTATAACAAATTAATAAATTACATAAGCAAATAAATAAATAAAGTATAAATACAACAAATATTAAATATTATCTATTAAATTCTACATAGATACTTTAAATTAAGTACTAAAAGAAAATCATCTTTTCAATAATAAATATTCAAAATAGCAATCTGATTTGTAAACTACTTCTATAATAACTTTAATTTTGAGCAAAATACTGATAAAAATTATAATTCAATTTGGAATAATGCAAAACTTCACTATTATCAGAATCTAAATCATTTAATAACACCAAATACTAATTATCAATTAACCTTTCAGTCAACTTCTTTATATTGAAGATCTTGTAAAGAACTAATATTATTACAAAATTGATTTAATAAAAAAATTTTAATGCAATTTTCATTGATACTATACTTATTCTGTTTAATATTTATATTTCTAACAAATGCAAAATGGATCCAAAAGAAAAATAACAGAATCTATCCTTTAACAGTAATATTTCCTAATGAAGAGCCAGTCGAATATATAAATGATCCTTCTAAAATTACTGTTTGCTCTTTTTGCAAAGATTTAAAGCTATATAGACTACCTTTAAATATTGTTAAAATACTGCTCAAAATTAAAAATATTCTAATGCACTATAGACTTTAATTTCTCTAATATTTTTAGGTTGTTCTTTAGATAAAATTTCAAATTCCAATGCATATACAAATTATAGAACTTTATCAGAAAAATTTGGCCTTTCTAAGAAATTTTGTGTACTATTTTTATATTCTGAAATAATAGGTGCTATTTTGGAAAATAATTTAAATCAAAACTAGTATTATGAATCATTAAATAATGTCACACTTTGACTTAAAAATAATAATCCTTTTTTTAAACTATATACTCATATTATATTACATACAAATGAAAATGGTTCAAGAATAATTTTTCCAATAGCAAAAATTTCTGATTCTCAAAATTCAACTTCTTCAAATCATCTCATAAATCATCCTGAATTAATAATGCTTCCTTATGATTTCAATACAGAAATCCATAATGAAGATTTCTATTATGATTGATTAATGGCTGGCTTTATTAATGATTCAGATGAAAAACAACTTCCAATCTCTCATAATGATAAGCATTTAGAAGCTTTTCTTTTTTCAGATCTCTTTCCAATAGGAATAGGCTTTTATAATAACAATCCTAATAAACAAATATATATTGATAGTTATCAAAGATATATTAAACATTACCTATTATCTCCAGATCCCAAATTTCAGTTACATTCATATTGGTCATATTAATCATATATGAACTTAGAAAAAATTCGCAACCATCAAAATCACGTAAGAATTTTAAGACAAAATAATACAAATAAGCAAAACTGTTTAATTGCTGCAGATTTAATCACTACAAGCATATATAATAATAGACTAATTATTAATGAAAACATTACAACAACATTGCCATTTTATATTAAAACTGATAATACTTATTTTAAAGAGAAAGAACTTCAAGTTCAAATGATGGTTAATGCATTCTAATTATCCAAATATTTTATACTACTACGATACTATTCTTAATTGATAATAAAGATACTAATCCTACAAATAGGCTATTATATATATATTAACATTATCATTATCGATTAGAATTCATAAGAAATAAATTATGAAAAAATACAAAGCTTTCAGAATAGAATAAATGGATTCACCATTAGAAAAGAGATGAATTTCAAAATTGTGA